TAACTGCATAATATTTCGTGAGGGATATCTAAAACAGCATTTACAAATACACATTCCGTTACGCAGCCAACACAGTTTCGTGGCTAAGCAATATGGACGAGTTCCCTTAAGATATTCCCAGTTCGCAGTTCGCAAGATATAAGCCGATTCGCACTTCAAATCGTAACCACGTGAAAATCAACATGTGCTGACTTTATTATGCAAAGAATGAGTAGAAGGATACGAAACATCTTGTCGAGCCAATTCATCCGGTGGTTCAGGTGAAGAGTCAGAGGATAATATTTCAGCGAACGCGGCTTCTAAAAGTAGCTTACACTGTCATGCATGCATCCAGTCAGTTGTAATTGCAACTGACAACGTTATGAGGGTTTGGGATAGGGCTTGAGTTCAGTCTATCGATCAGTTATTTACCCATAATCAGTCAGTTGAATCTAATGAGGCATTCGACTGAGTCTCGGGTATGTGAAGAAGAGTAATCCACACAGATTTGACGCGTATATGAGCATGTAGGGGATCAGAGAAGTTGTTCGAGTCGACTGAACATTCAAGGATTGATTTGTTTATCTGTGAGGATTGAAGCACGTTGTGGACAGTTGGAATTAAGCGGCTGTACTGTGTGGTGAATCTGTGTTTCTACACTCACTTCATCGCACCGTTAGTAAATTCAAATGTATGTTGTTGTATGTTTGTATTCTCGGCGTGGTGTAGACACAACTGAATGAGGTTGATGGGTCTTCGGAAGGCGACGAGTCCGTCATCTTGATCAATACAGAGCAGGGAGACGCCTGACTGTAATCAGTCGGTACAAGCATCATTTCAGAATGTGTCCAGTCCAGTGTAGTAAATAGGTGGTGATGTGTGACGACATGCTACCAATTGCTGGGAACTTGTGACATGAAGATTCATGATGATGATGGTGATGATCGAATGTAAGCTGAGTCCTTGCTCCATCATCTTGGAAGGCAATCTTAAACTATATGAGTAGTGAGAGAAGACCTACTGAATATTTTGAACCAAACCTCGTAGATTTCAAATGTTGAAATAACCAACTCAATGAGGAATTTGGTTGTAAGCTGTGTTCAACCTGAATAGGAAATATGCCGTATCATAGGTAACGGAAAAAGACATGGCGTCTGCTTTTGTGACTTACAGGCAAGCGTCATTACTCTCAAGTCAGTGTGGAGATCCACAGCGCTCAGCATGAAATGTAACATTCGGATTTTCAACTCCAAGTGAAGTCAGTGCTACCACACAGATCAGAGACTTGGCGCGTCACGAGAGGCACTTCGGACAAACTACAGACCTTCATCAACAGCTGTCTTCGCTCAATACTCAAGATCAGATGGCCGGCCTGAAAAGATCAGCAAAAGTAATCTCTGAGAGCGAACCAACCAGCAACCAATCGTGCAACCAATATGCAAGGAGGAATGGATTTGGATTGGCCATACTCTTATCGTTTCTTTTCATCACATCATCAGTAAGTACAAATATTGGTTGTTTCAAGTGTCATATTCTCGTTTCACTATTTGGCTTGGTGTTGAGAACATCATTGGCTTTCTTGTTGGTCTTCTCAATATATCCGACACACAGTGCAAAAATCTGAAAACGTAATTCTACAAGGCAGGTTAGGCATAACTCCCCGTCAAATAATTTACCTCGACATGCTAAAAGAATCCACGAAACCAAGCTTACCTGATCGACTCAACATTCTGCCCTCTGTACCATCATTTAACAGCCATCTATGACTGACACACAGACTAAATTGACATGCCATTATTGTGGAAACACTGCCTAATACTATGAAACCTGTCGAAATATTCAATAATAATGAGTTGTATCGTAAATAGAAATTTATCTATTAATTCCTTGAATCAAATCCTTTCTGGCAGAAAATACACAACACTGAGCATAACGGTTGACGATAGAAACAGTGAAGTACGTCAGGATGGGTGGGAACAGTCCGGACAAAATACGACTGAAATTCTCTCCCCAAGAGTCAGATAGAACGAAACCACGTTTCCACTAGGCCATGGAAAGACATGCAGTCCCACCACAGAGAAATCACCACTTCACTCAAACAACATGTGAACAGGCGTAGACAACACAATTATGTCAACAGCTTAGCATCACTTAGTGGCACAGACTAGCATCGAGAACTGGAAGGAAACAAGAAGAAAGACGAATGACCAGGATTATGTCGAAAAGAAGAAGTTTGGACGTCAGGAAGATGATGCACAGGTGGTGGGAAATGCATATCAAATACAGAAGGCCAGTCACATCTGTCATCAGACGAGTTGAGAGTACTTACAGTATTGTACAACACAGGTGACCGTAGAAGATATGTCGTCTCTATCTGTGGTGTATAGGAGTATGGTTGCGTTCTGAAATATTGCTTTAGAAATAAAGTGTTATTCAGACGCTCCCCTATCCTGAATCATGTATCCTCCAATATTCTTCAGGCTTCATTTCGACTGATCCATTTCAGAACAGTCAACTCATGCTTGATGTGTCACGCTCCATCAAGAATTCACAATATTTCATATTCAAGTAATTTTTCATGTTGTATGAAATCTCATCAGTTTGCATCGTGTGCACAATCCCACCGTATTTCGCATGATTAATGCAGGTATTCGGACGATCGAGGACAAACTGTTGTCGAAGATGATTAAAAGGCTAGTCTGTGGGCGTTTCTCGGCAACCAGGACGTAAAGATTATTGTTCTGTGTTAATTTGTCGCAGACCACACTGGGAAAATCGGTCAGTCCACAGGGGAAGATGTGGTTAACGAAACCACTATCTGGATTCCGTCATAGTCATATGGAATGATCACAAAGCTCATTTGGGAGACAGAGATGAATATGATGATACCGACATCTGCCTCCAAAGAAAACATAACATTATCAATTGAATACACTATGTGAAATGTCGGTCAATTTGGCTAATAGACACAAATAAAGCAGTCGTTCAGCCTAAATATTTTCAAAGTGCTTCTCATTCACATCGAATTCTTCGATGAACGAACAGAATACAACCTTGAACTCATGTAAAATACACAAGAGAAGAGACAGTATGGCATTAGAATTAATGTGTGACGCTATTTCAAGCATGATAAAAGAGTAACGTGAAGACGTTTGTGTTTCTAATGGTTTAGTGTGCTGGAATTCGAATACACCGTGTCAACGATGGACCAACTACCGGTATCATGATGTATCAGGACACACTGACAAGGATTCGATTTACAGGATCAAGATGGTTGGAAAGAGCGAGACTCCGGAATACACGACAGGTATTTGTGCATGACGACAGTAGATACATTCCAAGCATCGACGATCATCACAAAGACAACCAACTAACTAGTAAATCAGGCAGTTAGTCAAACTGGATGAAAGAAAACAACACAGATTTGCAGAACACTTCATTATCTTCAATATACAGAGTGAGTTAACTCAATTATGTAGTAGTGTAAGACACACAAGAGTAGATATAAGATAAATAGTCATGACATCAGGATACTGACGTTGTCAGGAATGACATTTTCATCCAATTCTCAAAAACTGACGGTCCCCACGTTCCACTGGAAAATAGGAAGAGGAAGGAGAACAGTGAACACACTCTACAGTCTCATCCTATGGACAAAACCATCATCAGTCAGTAGTCTGACACTCACCGTCGCTGTGTGGATTGGCGAGAACCTCGACAGAATATATTGCGAAGAGCAGTAGGATTGAGAAGAGCAATTGGATGCGCGCTTCGACACAGTTCACCTGCAACACTCAGTCTAACTAATTCTGTATATCGTCACATACCTGATGGTTCGGCATCTCGGATGACCAATACAGCAATATGCACAGTTTATCGCGATAAAATAGCCTGCATTCTAGGTTGTTTTCTGAAATGGACCTATTTCATTTCAAAGAACGCTTGACTTACGTCATCGTTGAAACATTCAGTTGACACACATTCAGTATTGACATTACAGATTGAATAGATGCATTGAATGAACTGTCCAAATTGTCAACTGGCGACTCAGTAGTCTACTTCGGTCACCAACTCAGACGAAATCAACGGGAACACTGAGGCACTGAGTGGCCATCATGATGTCAGCAGTGGCAGCCAAATCCGTAATGCAGTCGGAACTGATCTCCCCATCCAAGATGACGACAGCAAGATTCAACTCGAAAGGAAGGCGGGAAGGAAGGAATGAAGATAAGAATTATCCAATGCTACGCACAGTGCTACAGACAACTCAGAACCAGAGGAGACGGAAGAGTTTTCTGGACAACTACTCAGAGTAGTGGACAACATCCTGAATGGCGGACATACCACAAACCAGATAGACTGTATATGAACAGTTCTGAAGAGATTGGAGAAGCAGCCAGCCTGCTGGAGACAAAGTCGATAATGGAAGCAGATGTGTGCTCAGATCGTCATCTAGTTCAAAGATTCTTCGAAATGATGCTGAAATCAATGAGAACTTGTCCTCCGGCTTCCAGAGTAATACATCATGATACATTTCCGGATTCTTCGATTAATCAACCTAGATGAATGAGATTGCGTTCCCAGAACATGAGTGTGAACTCACTCAACTCCATCCTTGAATGTTACACTGAGACTCTCCGGGGACAATCACTGCGTTTCATTCCCTGATACTATCACGCGGGAAAATGAATCAGTTCCACACTGCACAAACAACGACTCACCTATGAAATCGGAGGTCTCTCCTTTCTTTTCCTAGAGAAATCCATTTTCATAGAACACACTGAGATAATCACTTTCACTGCACATGGTGAATAATGGGAAGTGTACTTTCCAATAATTGAGGACAGGCTTTCTCACACACACATGATAAGATATTTCTCATCACGTGATTTGCATAACCTCAATGAAGTAGGCATTGGTGGGGACAAATCTCACACTCATTCACGATGTTTCCCATGAATACAATCTCTATCTCCCCCTTTCCACGATTTATATATATATATATAGGTGAGTTGAGATGCATGTCGTTCGGTCGTGATAAATTGTGCACATTGCTATATTGGTGGTCTGGGATGCCGAATCATCAGGTATGTGACGATATACAGAGTTAGTTACACTGAGTGTTGTAGGTGAACTATGTCACAGTGTGCTTCCACTTGCTCTTCTCAATCCTACTGCTCTTCGCAATGTATTCTGTCGAGGTTCTAGCCGATCCACACAGCAACGGTGAGTGTCAGACAACTGACTCATCATGTGATTTTTAGAGTTTGAGTCCTTATTTCGTTTGAACCCTTGTTCTTACTCTTTCTTACAGATAAGCTTGAAAAGAAGAGTTTTATGAGATTTGGATGAGATTCTCCATCGCGACGATGTCGATATCTTAACATCTTGAATTTTGATTTTACTCATAATCATTCGTTTATTACGCCATAACATACATGAGATTACTCACTTTGTATATCGTGAATTATAAAGTATTCTGCATATCTGTGTTGTTTTCTTTCATCCAGTTTGACTAACTGCCTGATTTGCTAGTTGGTTGGTTTTTTCAAGATGATTATCAATCGTGGGTATGCATCCAGTCTCGTCATGCACAAATACCTGTTGTTTGTTCCACAATCTCACTATTCCTCTCCTGTCACTATGCTACGAATCGAATATTTTCACAAACGATTGCTGAAGAAGAGTTAGGCAATAACATAACTAGTGTCAGTTTACAGTTTACAATTTATTTAGGATAGTAGGCTATATTCCTGTGTTAATCCTTTCGATTTATTGCACACAGGAGGTCCAATCTCGCCTTGAATGAATCAACGGATGGCGCTGATACGACGTGTTCCGGTAGGGAGTTCCAATGGTTCACAATTCAATGCGAAAAACGGATCTCCAGATGCAGACGATTCCACCGTGGTTTTTGAACCTTGAAGTGATGTCCTCGCAATGGGTTGGTGCTAGAAGGAAGAAATAAATTAGATAAATTAGCTCCAAATTGATTTCTTAGGATACGGTATGCTAGTATTAGGTCACCCCTAAGTCGTCTGTATGACAGTGGAAATAAACCCAGTCGACTTAACCTCTCCTCATATGACAGGGTTGAGAAACCCTTTATTAGCTTAGTTCCTACTCTTTGCACCCTTTCTAATAAGTCTATTTCGTATTTGAAACACGGCGTCGCTGCCTAGATCCCGTATTCCAAATGAGGTCTGATATAAGTCGGATATAATATACGAAATATATCAGCGTCAAAGTTCGCAAAAGCCTTGCGTATGGCCCATAACATTCGGAAACCCTTAGTGGCTGCAGTTCTACAGTTTGTTGCTGTTTTCAAGTCAGGCTGCACAACCACTCCCAAGTCCTTGTACTCAGTGACCACTGGGAGAGTAATGCCATTCATTGAGTAATTGTGCACGTGACTATGAGATACATGCATAACTACACTTTTGCTTAAGTTAATCTCCAAGGCCCAGTGCTTACACCAATCACTTAAGAAGTTTAAATCTTCCTGCAAAGCAAGTTGATCACTGTCATCGTGCAAAGCCCTCCATATCTTGATGTCATCAGCAAACAGTAAGCAGGATGACTTAACTACCGATGGAATCTCATTAACATAAATCAGGAAAAGAAGTGGGCCTAGAATTGTACCCTGAGGAACGCCACTCTTAACTGATTCCCATGTTGATAAAACCCCGTTAACTCGTACTCTTTGTCTTCTGTCCTTTAGAAAGTCTTGAATCCAGTCGGTAACCACTTTGTTGATTCCCAGACTACCTAACTTTACTAGAAGACCTGAATGAGAAACCCTGTCAAGCGCCTTGCTTAGGTCTATGAATATGGCATCCACCGGTATATTAGCATCAGCTGAGCTTGCCCAACTTTCTCTGGCCAAAAGAAGGCTGGACTAATAAGCAATCAGTATCATTAGCAACATTTTCAAATAATGAATAACGAGATAAGAAATCTGCATGAGGTATATCCTTTGCCGATCTATGTTCAATAGTGTAATCATATGCACTTAGTTCTAAACTCCATCTCTGAACCATAGCAGCAGATGATTTATTCAAAGATTTTTCTGGATTGTAAATGAATTTCAAAGCTTGATGATCAGTAACTATGTGAAACTTAGTACCAAAGAGATACTTGTGCAAGCGTCTTATTGCCCGTACAACTGCTAAAGCTTCTTTCTGGGTTTGTGAGTACCCTTGTTCACTCTTACTTAGACGTCTTGAAATACAAATAACAGGTTGTCCATTTTGCTCAAGTACTCCAGCTATACCCATAGGAGAAGCATCTGTAGTGAGAACAGACTTATCTTTCGATGAAAAAGGTCTTAAGAAAGCTTGCTTATTAAGAAACTCCAAAGTTTTTCTCAAGATATTCTCATGTTGTTGTTCCCACTTAAACTGTTTACTGGAGACAATGTCAAAAAGTGGAGATAACCGTTGAGTGAAGTTGGGAATGAATCTGGAGTAAAACTGAAGAGTACCTATCCGTGATCTCAACGATGACATATTATTAGGTGACGGTGCTTGAATTAGAGGTGCCAAACGACTAGCATCAGGTCTGAAACCTTCGGAGTCTACTGTGTATCCCAAGCATGATACAGACGACAAAGTGAAATGGCATTTAGATGGATTAACAAGAACATTATTCTCACATAAACGCCTGAACAGTTTTAAAAGACGTTCATTATGCAATTCGATATTAGGACCATGAACTATAATGTCGTCTTGGTATGATTCAACACCATCTAATCCATCTATCATCTGATTTATTACATTTTGAAATATTGCAGGTGAAACCTTTAAACCAAAAGGCAAGAACTTATACTTGAACAATCCAAATGGAGTATTAATGGTTGTTAATGCACTAGACGCCTCATCAAGAGGAATTTGCAAATTGGCATCTTTTAGATCTATTTTGGAAAAGTATCTTGAGCCATGTAGCTTGTAGAGAATGTCTTCAGTTTCTAGAGTAGTGCAACTTTGCTGTAGTAAACGACTATTGAGTGTAAGGCGGTAGTCACCACAAATTCTAGGTGTTTTTCCATCAGCCTTTAGTGGCGTAACAATAGGAGTAGCCCAATTTGAAGACTCAACTGGCTTAAGTATGCCTTGCTCAACCAACTTGTCTAACTCTTTCTTAACTGCATCTCGCAATCCATATGGAATTAATCGGCGTTTCAGGAAGATAGGATCACCCTCTATTTCAAGATGGATGGGCTGAATCTTCATACCACCTGAACAAAGATTCATCAAACAACTCAGTACAAAGTGAAATTTCGACATTTAACAATCTAAGGCCTTTTAATCCCAATAGAGATGGACCATATTCACTAACAAGAAAGGGAATATTTACAAAATTACCACTGTCTGATTTCAAAGAAATGTTAGTAGCCCCGATAAGAGGTAATTTATGACCAGTTATGCCTGTAATTGAACTAGTAGTAGGATCTATCTGGACATTCTTACAAATCGATTGTAAATCTTTCTTAGAAATTATAGATTCAGTACTCCCAGTATCAATTATAAAACAATGGGACTTGCCTGAACTTGTAGTGAAGGTTCTCATTAGATGAGATTGAGTATTTGGAAAAGTTGAAAGAGACATCGACTGCATTTAACCAGATAAATTGGAAGAATTATCAGGATTCTCAGTAACATATGTATTCGAACTTCTGCACACAGTCTTGATGTGTCCAACTTTACCACATTTGTGACACTTAGCACTCCGAAAACGGCAAGTGCTTCGTAGATGTAACTTTCCACAGGATAAACACGGTTTAATGTTTTTGATCTCTGGCTGCATTCTATTACCTGTGGACGACAGTTTGGATTTCTTTCCATGAACACTTGTATTTTCGACTTTAGAAAGCATAACAGCAGATACTGACGTAGTGGGAGCAGAGTATTCATTATTGACATCTTCATATGTAATACATACATCTTTAGCAGTTTGAAACGTACAGGAAGGAATCTGAATTAACTCTTTCTCTAACTTAGAAATATTGATTCCAGCAATTAGACGATCACGTAGTTGAGTATGCAGCTGATCTCCAAAGTTACACTTTGAGGCTTGAATTTGAAGTTGAAGAATGAAGCCTCTAATCTTCTGGTTGGGAGAACGTACCAGTTTGTTGAAGTGAGCCCTCTCTCTCGTCTCAAATGTAGTCACATGAAAGTGATTTGTCAGAAGTTCACGGATCTTGTCATATGACATAGAAATGGGTTTATCTGGAAACGCCAGATTCTTCACCAGGCTATATGCATCAAGCCCAATAGCAGTGATGAAATGAGCAGGTATTTTGTCATCCCGAACATTCTTGGAAATGCACCACGCATCGAAGCATTCCAAATAATCAGCAATCTCCCGCGGAGACCCATTAATGGGGAATTTTTCCAGGTTACTTAGCTCCATCGCGACGCCAATTTGTAGTAATTTATTGTAATTGAAGTATTAGTATTTCGAGATGACGGAATTACACGAATGCAACCAAAACTCAGAGAGGGCAGCAATCCGGAATTTGTATTTAGCAGAATTATTATACAATTCATATATGAAAATATTAACAATCAACAGTAAGTATTTAAACAATACAAAGATAGAAATAGTCAATCACCACATCCGCCACACGTTGAATGTCTCGTTTCGTATTTATAATGATATCGCGGTTTGCTTGCCAGTCTCTGCGATCTTCTAACTGATTCGGTGATATCATTTCCATCAGTATCATCTAGACTTATTTCTGAATTATCTACAAAGTCGGGATTAGTAGCGGAGTCATTATAATCATAATCGGAACGACCTACCTCATTTATTCTCACTTGATCCAAGTGTCTGTTATGAACTGAATTATCTTCGATGTCTAATATCTTCACCATTCGATTTCCCATTCTTTGTAGTATGATACCAATAGAAGGTCTATAATCATTCCCTCTGTAATAATGTACATCAGAAGTCGTGGACATCAGATGCTTTCTGAGAATTCGGGATTTGAATAGTTTTGCAGGACTTTCACGGGTACTTGTATGCTCCGCATTGCGATATTGAAGTAAGAAGTTATCCACACATCTCTCTAGCTCATCAAAATTTTGAGGACTCATTGATGCTATAGCACTCTTTAATGTTCGTACAAAATTTTCTGCCAACCCGTTTGACTGCGGATGACGTGGTGCTGTGTACAAATGACGACAACCTATATGTTTGAGCCAATCATTGAAGTTCTTCTCCGTAAAATGAGTACCATTGTCAGTAACTAAGACATCTGGAATTCCTTCTCGACTAAAAATCTTTCTCAACGCTCTGTGAGTGAATTTGGCATTAGGACTATCTGTAATGATGACTTCTGGCCATCT